TAGGTAATGAGTAATTGAACTGCAGTCAGAAAGTATTGTTGAAGTCGAGCTCGTGAGACATGAATTATAGTTTGTTATAGCGCGATTGTTGAAGTTGAGTGTATCGTAAAGTTGTATTCGGAAAGAATAAACAGTTTTATTTAAGAAAGGACTTGTGTCGCTAAATTTTCGTCGGAACGAAGTTACGGAAAATTAATTAACAAACGGAGACGTAAGAAGACGTTTATTTTGTGTAATTTCAGTGGCACATATTAAACTTTATCAACAAGTGTAACCTAATCATTAAATATGTTTTGTTACTACAATGTTAGGCCTTTACTACATGAGAATAATTATGACACGTAAATTATCACAAACACGGAAAGAAATTACCATGTAAGTTCATAGAATTTCTGAAAGATCTAGAACTACAAATAACACAAACATTTAAGAAAGGTGTAGGAAGGAGACAAAACAGTCACACTATTCGCCTTTTTTTTATGACCCCACGTTTTCTTTCTACAGACTTTAATTTCTGCGTTTCTGTGATATTACACTTTTACGATTTATAGATCTGCTCTTTGTCTTTTTAGTAAACGCCTTGGTTGTATTTTAGATAGTTGTGGTTTTACAAAGATAGAAGTAGTTAAAGTAATTCAAAGTTGTTCGCTATTACTGATGCATTTCTTGTTAGCAGAGATAGGCGGATATGTCTGTCTTAAAAACAAATTAATGCTATAAATGGGGGCATTACCCCTCCTTCAACTACTCTGAACCTTCCCATACAAACAGTTCGTCTGTTGCAAAGATAATCATGCAACGTGCGGCATTAAACGCCGTTTTCGTTTATTTTTGGTCTTAGGGTACTTCGCTGCCGACCTTCACACTCGTATGAGCCCTCGTGTACAACATGAAGACGGTAAAATTGAAATGGCTGCCAAACTCGAACTATTTGTTGGATTTCTTATCTATTTTAACTTGATCTTTCGGACATCAACATCCACCCACTTCATCACAACAATTTGTGACTTCAGCTAAACAGATGGACAAATCTTCATATATATAGATAGCCCTCAGTCGAACCAGCCTGATAGCCTGAAATGATACAGCGTCATTAATAATGGCAGGTAGAAGACTGTCTACATGGCTTATTCAATTGTATACCATAATGTTTAACTTCGCGTTGGACTCGGATATGAATTTTTAGTAGTGGGAGTAGGGAGGGTAAATAATATTTTGAGTGTGGTCTCAGGTACTGGACAATAGTTATAAATGACTTTTTAATCTTTATAGGTATTCAACATTATGCAACTAAGCCCCAAAATCGGAAGTACTAAAATAAGTCAATTTATCGCTTCATCATTTTATATATACATATATATTTCATTTCTGCTGTCAGTTGGATAACTTAAGAAGTGTCTTCCAGAAGAATAAAACAACCACAATCTCTTAGTGCATATTATGTACACCATAATAAAAAATATATATCTTTGACAAATTAGGCCTAAGACGTTACTTATAGCGTCCCACTGCTTATACAAATTGCATGCTTACGTCATCAAACAATTTAATTAAGCGATACGGTACACGAAATATGAATGTAAAAATCATAGTAAGTTTTACTTTCTCAAAAAAATCAGGAAAAACGTATGAAAACTTGGATGAAGGTGGAAGTAGTAGCTTACACAGAACACCATTTATAGACAGTTAGGGTCAAAGAATTTTTGACGTTAAAACATTTTGGCTAGAATCCAAAATATTTAGTTTCAAGATGTACAAGGATATTACTGTCCACAGATATTCTCGTACCTACTTAACTACAAATTTTTATTATACTTTCAAACAACGATTTATTACGTCCAAAAAAAAGAGGGTTCCTAGTGATTAAATGTTACAATTACTTGTTCTAAAGGCTAATATTTTCATAATATTTTAACCGCAATGTTTTAATTGATATTCACCCCTTTATAACTCAGCAAAAGAGACACACTAAACGATTTATACTTGGGTTTAGTGTGACCCGGTGATTAGTGTGTAGGGCTGTGGATAGAGGGCACGAAGTTCGAGGCCTGATGTTACTGAACACGCTTAGTACTTTTATTAAAGTTTTTCTATTCTCGGGTACAGTGATTATCTTACAACTAAGAGTAACATATATATATATATATACAAACTGGAGAAACAGTAAAAATTGCATTGCAGAAATAAAAAAAAAGAACTTAATTCACTTAGTCGAAAAAAAGAGACTGGATACAATTGTAAAAATAGTAGAATCAAGCTTTATTAAATGCAGAACGAGTCAGAACATGTTTGTGAGACCGAGAAAGTTTAACACTTGACACATAAAAACAATGACGCCACCCTGTCAGAGCGTAGGGGCTACCAGTAGTATAATTTCTGCTAGATATTTCGAAAATTCCCACCACTTTTATGGTTATACAACTTTTTTATCCTATATATATAATAATAATGATGATATTATTAGTTTTATTGTTATGAGAATTTTGA